ATGTACATTAGCTATTCAAATAACAACGATATTATAATGTGAATATAATACCATGTTTTACTCAGACACACAGTCGTGAGGTACAAATACCTTTACTTTGTGCTTTTGAATCTTGCGTTGAAAACGTTCGTCAAAAATATTGAGCCCTTAATAACTGAGCTCGAGATCTTTACGGAGAAATATCGCACCGATGTGTTTTTGTACAAAAAGACAGAGGTCCAATATTTCTCAGTAAAGACCGAGAAAGCGAGGTTATTAATAGGTTTATTATAAGGCAATATTTGACCTGAAACGAAGCTTGCGTTTTATCTCGTCTTTGCTGTTTTGTACGGGTTGACTTTCACTTTTCTAGTTTTTGTCAATCAAAACAGAAATCGTTTCAAATTGTATCGTCTGTATAGTTAAGCTGTTTTCCGAATGTTTTCCCTTCAAATCACATTCGTAAATGGTTTTTTGTTTTGATTTGTTTTGGGTTTTGCTGTTTGCTTTACGAAGTTTGTTTACATTTGACTTTAAAATTACGCGTTTTGGACCGTGATCGATTACAGGAAAATAATGGACCGGCAAGAATGTTTCCTAGCCAATCAAAACGCGCCATTTTGTCGGAAGTAACGCTTGCCAAATCATAAAACATAATAACTGTACATATTTATATCCCGAGAGCTTTATAACAATGTTAGTTTTGAAAAATCACAAATCGTGCCACGTATTAAAATAGTATCCATGCAAATTGAAATGCCACTAAAAACGGCTGTTTTTGATATATCTTTCCATAGATCAAAACTCTGAAATCAACTTACGATATGACACAACAAACTTATCTGGCAATGAATTCATACTCGAGTCTCAGTCACATCAAAGTCTGAATCACTTGTATGAAGAACCGAGATGGGAACACGAACATGCTGTGAAAATCAGTTTTGAACCTCGTCCTTCTGGATATGAGGAACCTATCTACCAAAATTCTTGTTTCAGTAGTTTAAGAATCAATGAAGATAAAGGTGAACAATATGAATCCATGAAAGGACTTGCAGGCAGTAGGAATGAGATGAAAAATAATGATTATCAACCAATGCCAAGAAAAAGTTTTGTGAAAAATGGTGAATGATCAATACGAAACTTCGTCTGTCAGTGATTCCATGATTAAACAAGATGACAATTGAATATTATAAAATAAAACATTTTTAATTTTAAAACAATATTTAGTAGAAAGATGATTCTCATCAATAAAGGAAGATTGCACCATTGAATGGTCTTAAAGAATCGACAAAGAAATGTTTCATTCATGTGAAACGAATTTCTGCAGCATAGCTGTTGCTTTTTGTTCCTGCATTAGTTCAGGTCTTGTATTAGTTCAGTCAGTAATCTCATTGATTTGATAATTTTGTTGATTAAAAATTTATAGTTCATTTTATATCGTATTTTATTTTATTTTTTTATTCAAGAAAATGTTTTCAAAATGTAAATTTACATGCTTCATCATGTGATTTGTAAGTAGCGCAGGCCTTTTCTACGTTGCCATTACATTCACAATAAATTTTTCGTTGTTGAAAGTGTGAATATAATTTTGTTGCTTGTTTTACTTATGACTTATTTATTGTGCGCAAGTTTCATTGCCGTTCATCAAGGAGAGAAGATACATTTTGAAAATGAGAAGAATGAACGAACATATATACCAGACATGCTAGTTTCTTTTGAAATGCAATGCCGATACGACATAGGCGCGTTCTCTATGTGGTAAGAACGCAGGCTCGCAAAAAATGGGGGCGTAAATTTCATGCACGTACATCATCGCCATATATTCGTGAGGTCCGTTTGTCAAAATTCAATAAAAAAATAACAAAAAACAATGAAATTTGTCTGGTTAAATTAAAAAAAAAATAGAAAGGGTTCTTTCAGTTCTCTGTCACTTCAGTTCACTGTTCTCTGTACACTGTGTTCACTTTTAAAGCGCATGTACCAAGTTAAGCAGGCTTACCCGAGGGTATCTGTCGCATTAAACCCCCCCTCTGAGCTAGGTTCATGTAATGGTTTCATTGCTTGCATTGCTTACAATCGAATGCTTCCTTCACTTCAGTCACTAAAATTTTTTCTAACTTAAAGAAGTGTTTGATTGTGCATCTGTTAAATTCTGTTTTTATAGGTGGTTTTATTAAAGCCTGGTTTTCACTTGCGACATAAAGGACAAACAAGGTCAAAAGAATATACAGAAGAAGGCAATGAAATAACTGACAAAAGCATCAACGTAAGCATAAGCACAGCAACTTGGCAAAAGCAGTAGAACAAAAACAAATTGAAAAGAAAATCCTGTTTCTTTTATTTCCTCCAATCTCTTGAGAATATGTTTTGCTTTGTGTTATCACTTGTGCTTATGTCGGCAGTGAAAACTAGGCTTTAGTGCATTCAGGGATATTAGTTTCAATGTCCTGCAAACCTGGGGATGGAATAATCAATGCATTAGATTCTTCCGTTTCAAACTTTGAGCTCACTGATTTGAATATTTTCAAGTATTGATGGTGTTCAAAGCGTATGTTGTTTATTGTCTGCAAGGGATTAAAGAAATTTATTAAGTTATTTAGTTAGGATTTCTGTTATTTAATGGTTGGTGTGAGCATGTGTATGATTTTGCTTTACGATTACATCTTGTAGTTAAATTATTGTTGACGTTGTTGATGGCTGATCACCGGTTTTCACAAGTTAGTGAGAAGAAAGTTGCCGACGCAAGGGAAAGACGATTGCTGTTACCACTCAACGACATAAATTGTGAAGCAGAAATGAGCTACGGGCGAAAGATTTATTTGTGTCTCAATTATTGTCGATATAACACTAGAACAAGAGGACTTTTGACTTGGTAAATTTGCCCTTTAAGTATAGTGTGGTTTCAATCGACTTGCTGAAGATACGTTTTATTTGTTCATTATTTTGACATCTCCTGTTTTACAGATTCTATGTTTACTCCGTCAGGATAATTTCATTTTCCATGTTTCAACTCCCCTAATCAGCTAACCCCATCTGTTCTCGGATATTCCACATTTTAGAAATAGCATTTTTGGTTTCATGATCCTGATGGCATATGATCACAGTTTGACAGAATTTTTGAAAACACTTGCATGGAGGTTATCAATGTCCATCTATGAAATGGTTTATTTTGTTCATTTCCTTGTAGAGTTCATTGGGAAATTTCTGGCTTGATTGAATATTGAAAAAAATCAGAAGTTATTGAAAAAAAAGGGATAAAGTGTCAGATAAAATTTACGGGGGCTTTCACATGTTCTAAAATGCTGATTGTAGAACACAAATCTCCCATGATCAATATGCTACAAAATGACGTCAAAGGACAATCAGCTTGTGACTCACGATGTGATTCAAAATTTCTGAACATCTTGTACTTTTAGCAATCAAAATGCTCTTTCTTATACTTGCTAGCATTTGCTACTGACCTTGTTCTGAAAAAAAGTACTAAAAGATGGTTGGGAACCAGGAAGTGTTGCTGCTTACGGAAATCTCTTCTTCTGGACTATTGCAGAAGTAACAATTGGAATGGATGAATATCGTGTACTTAAAATGAAGATGATATCTTATGGACGTCACGATGAGGAATATTACAAAAAAATTTTAAAGTGAGTACATTGTTTATAAAATTGATAAGTTTTAGTACAACCTTATATGGCATAGAGACTGGAAAAAATGAATAAGAAAGCGAAACACACTCAACACTAGACAACATGCGGAACTTTAGACGTAGTTGTATATTTCACTTGGAATTTCTTGTATGCGTTGCCATATCCTGATTGATCTTGCATGCTTGCGATATGTCCAAGTGAAAACGGTGTAAATGCGGTGGACAAAAATGCAGAAAGGATTGTTATTCTTCAATAGAGCATTAACTTTTCCCACTTCTTCTGCCAGAACGGATGCCCCGTCTGACCTGAGCCCCAACAATTTTTTGGTCAGAGATTTTCTGTTGTTCCATGATTAATAAAAATATTTACATGTTTATCCTTTCGCCGTTTTATTCGCTTTCATTATTGAGATTGAAAAGTTGGTTTCTTCAGCCGCCTCTCTAAATGTTTATGTTGACTTTGATTTGCTGTCACTGTTCATTCTTTTAAATAAGGAGTCTATCAACAGTTAGTTTTTCAAACGCTTTTTGTGGAGCATTTTGCATTAACAAAATCTTATTATAAAGTCATTTTGATTTTACTTCCTTGTTTTGATGACACGCTTTCCTTTTGTTTGTATGCGCCGCTGTAATAATATATCGCAAAAAATAATGCGAAATATTTTGAAAAAAAATGAAACCACATTTTGGCTTTTGGCTTTACAGAGGTAAATAATGAAGGTTTATTTTAACTTGTTTTATTTTTGCCAGTCATCTTTCATAGATGCCGGTTCAAAAGACGGGTGGACAGGCCTCTGTCTAAGACTTTGATTATATACCATGAACGAATTTAAATAGTTCCTCATGCTCTCCAAATACAGCCTGATATTGAGCTCCCGTAATCTATACTTTTTCCGCGCTCCAGCCATTAATGGCCCAAATCGCTTAAATCGTATAAACAAACAATAACTTTCCCCATTCCATCGTAACAGACCTGCGCCGCAAACTTTGCATTAATTGATTGCATATAATTATAAGGTTTAAGTGATTTTTGGCCGTTTATACTTAAACTCAAAGCAATTGGTGAAGCTAGCGCCATTCTTATTGAATCATCTTTTGTGAAAAACAAACAATTTACTTATTTGTTTTCACATCCTGGGCCCATAGCATGTTAACTTATTACGCAACTGGATCCCAATAAAACGATGTATTTACTATTTGGAAAAACGACACAATAAGCATTTTTCAAAACCTTGCGTTTGCAAGCGCAAGAGAATTAGAAAGATAAGATAATTAAATGCAAATATAAGTGCTACATGAAGTCACATGACTGATGCAATAGTGCATAGGGCGTACTTATTCTAGTTGACATAGATTATTTCATCAGTGTTAACAGATCACAGCACAGTTGCAGAAGTATTTTTGAAAAGAGTTGGAGGTTATCGCTGTCCAGCAATTAAAAGAGTTCACTGTAGAATTTTGAGCCTGTATTGAATATTGAATAAAGTTATTGACAGAAAGAAGTGAGGAAAAATATACGAACCTTGATGATGATGATGATGATGATCTGTATATTGAAAGATACAAGCACAAGGTTAGAATGTATTTAAAGTTGTCTTGATTGACCATTTTTTTACACAACATCATGATTATCTAATACGTTGTATAATCCGGTTGTTGTGAATTTTGTTTGCTGTTATGTGACGATGTTTTGAAGAATTAAATAGTTTTACATAAATCACAATATTTTGTCTCTGCTTGCCAAATTTTGCACTTCATACTGCACTAGTTTAAAATGAAAGCTTATATTTAATCCTTTTGGATTAAGGAAGTCAATACTGTTCGAAATGTAATCCATAATTGTACAACTGGACTGAAAAGTTTTGGCAAGTTTCTTTATTTTAGTTTCCTGATACTTTTCATTATTCTAGTTTATTGATTTTAATATAAGTTATTGATATTGTGCATAAATGATTTACTTTTTTTTGTAATTCAAAAAAAGTATGCGCTGTATTGATGCCTTCAAACATTGCTTGAGGAAATTGATGCTTCCAAACACTGCTTGAGGAAGTTGAAAAGCGGAATCAAATTCTGTGAAAGTATTTATTATTTAAAGCAGTAGCTATAAGAAATTGTATTCAAACTAATTCAAACTACAGCTATCAAACATAAGTTCACAAAATCACCGACAGTTGCATGGAAGTTAAATTTAATCCTTTAGGATTAACAAAGTTAATTCTGTTCGAAATGTAATCTATTGTTGTACAACTAGTGTGCAAAGATTTTGCAAGATTCACTATTTCAACATTCCAGTTTTATTTTATTTTACTGATGCCAGTATAAATTTTATAGATATTGTGCGTGCATATAAATTAACTTATTTCTTTGTAATTCAAACCACATGCGTTATATTGATGCCTTCAAACATTGCTTGAGGAAGTTGATGATGAAAGCCGAATGAAACTGTGTGCAGCAGCCATAAGAAATTGACTTCAAACTGCGGCACTCAAATATTTGGACTTTTATTTTTTGGTGCATTTTCTCGCAATATTATTATCTCCTTGAATTTAATCAAGTCTGCAAGCGATTTTATTATTTCAATGTAAACAATACAGTTTCGATGAGCCATTGATATTGGTAATTACTATACTATGTTTTCTCTGCTATCTTATAAAAATTTTGTGTCTAAAATTGTAGCACATTTGTACGTCACATATGGTTGCATGAAAGTCAAAATTTAAATTGGACAACTATGACATCAATAAAGTCTCTAAAAATCAACTATACGAAATAAAATTCAAGATTTGAAAATTTTTTTTAGTTATAGATCACAATGTAACTGTTTAACCTTTTCTGCATTTTTTCAAAACACTAGTTTATATTGCATGTTACGTGATTGTGCTCACAAAGCGTGCATCAAAGAAAGTCATATTACTTAGATGTCTTGCGACATTTAAAGGGTTTTTTCACTGAAAACCATTTTTGCTATAGTTGTGTTTCAAAACATTTTTACTGCATGTCTGTGTTGTTGTTCACACAACCAATAAATCAACACGTTTATGACATCTATTAGATTACATATATAGACTGACATTTGTATTATTGTACTTAACATAATTATTATAGACAGTTGTGTTTTTATCTAATGGGCCGTCCTGTTTATTTTTACTTTATTCTAATCACATGTTGAGAAGTCTAGAAAAGTCAATCAATGTTCGAAGGAAAATGCTTTTCATATTGCAAGCACTATAATTCAAGTGATTGAAGTCTTTTGTATTTTCTGTTCATTGTTTAAAGTGTCACTTCCACCAAAATATTATTTTATCAATATCAAATCAGTCTATGATTTTAAGCCTCTCCGAGAAAAATTTTCGATTATGGTCAAATCAACAGGCTTTTATGGCGTTTTGAAGTTGTGCATTTTTGGCCCATCGACGTCGTTTTTTGTAATACAAAAGAAACTGGCACTAGAAGGTATTTTGACGTCATCCAAGGTAGACGGAATTCGGGCATATTTAGCTTATATTAAACATACGCGTTCTTTTACGCTGTTTTATTATAATATTCGAGGAAATTATGTCTTGCTAAGAAAGCAATGAATCGGAATCAGAATTAAGTGTTCAATTAGATAACTCTGACAAAAACTTTATTCCGGGATACGTGATAGAAAACTCGAAAGGCAATAAAACTTGAGCGATAATGATTCGGATTTTGACTCCAAAGCCTAGATGGTCAGAAAGACACAAATTCGAATCTCATCTTTTTTAAACCTTAGAAAATTAGCGTTCTTTTGATTCGGCAATTAAACTACTAAATTGACGCACCAAATTCTCTGGCTTAAGTGAGCCAATAAAATTTTGAAGCACTGGAACTCTCAAATACGTTCTTTTTTCTTTAAAACCCAAATCTTCCGTCTTCGCTTAGCCTCTTTCCTTTTGTAATTATAAGGCGTAGTGTGAAGACTCATACGAGAGCTAAGGCTTGATTTATTCGTACAATTGGCTGCAACGCAACTGTTTACCATTTTTCTGCTCTTACTGGTGCAAAGGTAATGCTTTTAGACTCTTATAGACTTTAGCTGTGCTTCAGCAATAGTGATTTTATAGCTATTGAATAGACGACTCGTGTAACACAAGTACCTTGGATGACGTTAGAAAATTAGCTAGTTTCAGCCTCCTCATTATCACGGACATGGTTCACAAGAATATAAGATTTTAGAGAATTTAACGCTTTACAAAAATCAAACGATTTGACCAAATTCAAATTTTTTTTCTCAAAGAGGCATAAAAACATAAGATTTGATATTGCTAAAAAATACTTTTTATGGAAGGGCACTTTAACACGTCTCATATTTTACTTCATATAAAATTGTTAATCGACATAAATAATGTTTTTACTTCGTACAATATTCGACTGCAAAACAAGTTCATTTGCTTTCTGTGGTTGATTAAAATCACCAGCAGAGTATTGTAAGTCTGTATGAGTCAACAGAGTAATGTATAAGTAATTCATATAATACTTAATTGGACTATATACAAGACAGTACAACATAGTAACTACTAAGTACAAGTTACTTGAACCCTTCGCTGGAAAGATTTAGAATTGATATTTGTCATTGTCACTAAACAATATCTTTTATTTAAAAAATTTTTATGAAGGTTTGTAATGTTTTAATTGTTTGTACTATAGAATACAAGGATATCGTACAACTATACAAGTCAATTTTTGGGCCTTCATGTTTTTAGTTAATCTTTCTCAAAATAACAACATTTTCTTAGGATTAGAGCACCGCCTCTTTGCTGATTGCAAAAAACTTCTGCTTTATCTTTGTACGCGGATAGACACTTCGCAGTGCAATTATTAGAGAGTTTACGAATTGTAGAATCCCAGGACGCCACCGTTGAAGCTATATACTGCGCACGCGCGCGTCAAGTTTAGGCACGTCGCGTGAAGGCGACGCAGTTAAAAGCTGTAGTATGACGGCGTCTTGAAAATCCAAAATGGCGGAAAAATTAACAAAGACGAAGAGGTAAATTTTACGAATTTTTTAAAGGTTGTGTGGGAAGAAATATTTTAAACATGGGGTATTACCAGAGAATTTTATGCGGTGTAATAACTTGAATTGTCGATCCAACTGTGGAAATGTAGAAGTAGATGTAGCTTAAGTCTTGCATACAAATTTATTAATTATATGATCATATATTCCTGCAAATCAAGCGTGTTTGAGGAAATTTTCTAAACAGCAAATCGATCAACTCTAGAACAAAGTTTGTATCCTTAGTATAACTTTGTTTGGTTATGCATTTGTTGTTTAATGGTTCACTTTTGAAGTTCTTCACTTCTTCTGGAGAAAATTGTTTTACATTTCAATTTTTCACTCCAACAGCAAGAAGCCTATGGCTTGGACAGATGAGCATAGTGATCGACTCATTCAAGAAATGTATTTGCTAGACCCATGGAATTATGGAAAGGGATCACAACAAAAACGAAAGATCTGGGAACAGATAAGTGACTCATTAAATGACCTAGATAATCCAAAGTTTAATGTAACCCCAAAACCAGTACCTGACCATTATAACTTGCTTGAGAAACAGCAAAAGAGAAAACTAAGGAAGGCTTAAGGGAACTAAGAAAAAGCTTCTGGAATTTCTCTAAACCACAGTGAAACTGAAGTTAGATATAGAAGATATTATAGAGCGTTCAAAAACAAAGACGTAGAAGATGATTAAAAGGAAGCTGGCAAAAATGAAAAAGCTGTGTTGGAAACAACAAAAGCTGTTGAAATGAGGAATTTATCCATGGAAACATTAGCTGCTAGCCAAAAAAGAAAAGCTGAATCCAACAATGAAGGGAGAAACCTAAAAGAAGGGTATCTTGTAGTGGCAGTGAGACTATTGTATATTTGAAAGGAAAAGCTGAAGTAGATGCAGAGCTCAAAAGAGAGAAACTGAAATTAAAAAAGCTGAAGCTGAGGAAAGGAGAATCCAGCAGTAAGCTTTGACAAATGCTCTAAATAATGCTATGGCAACCAGCAAAGACAACAAGAGCAGCTTATGCAACAAATGCAAGTCCAAAATGCTGCTCTGCTTACATTAATGCAAAACTTTGCTAAAAATAATAACTGATTCAACTGTTAACTTTTAAGAGTTTAAAACCAAATGTTTATTGCTTACAAAATGTTTATAAGGAATGCTTACAAATTTTTTATTAGAAGTGTCTGGTTACAATATTTTTGTTGGAATGAAGCATTGATGGAAGTTTTCATAAGTTTATGTACTGATAAATTCCTTAAGTTTTTTTTTTTTGCATGGACATACGAATCAATTTTGATTCAGTCAGTGAATAATAGACCAGTTGAAGATAAGGATGCAAGTAAACAAAAAACGAAACAACTTATGCAAATTCTTTGGTTTTGTCCTGGTCGACAAACTAGGCGAACAGTTCCATGAATGAAACCGAAGCAGTTTTGCAAAGCACACCCTATTCTGACACACACCTCCACAATACTTTCTCAACAAATAACAATGGCTGATTGAAATTTGACAGCAATTGATGCCATTCTGTATAAATGTGATTCATTACTGCAATATTCACCGTGACTAGTTGTGGGACCGATCTGCCAAATCTAGGAATCATGTCCAAGTAACGCAAAGTTATGCAAAACAACTTAGTACCATACACAAAGCCTCAACGAGATCTACTTTCAGCCCATGGTAGCACTAGATTTCGGGTGGAAGCTTTTTACATTATTAGACGGTAAATATCGTTTCTTAAAAAATGAAATTCAATTATGCACTCTTCATCACTCAATTTATCTAAATCAAATTCGCTGTATTTCCAATATGGCAGGTTAAGACTTTTGGCCGTATGCAAGTCGTACAAAAAAGAAACTCTTCGTCGTTAATCAAACCATGATTATGGCAATATAAAAGGTGTTCCCGGATTTTTCGCCAATTTGGCAGCTTTTTTTGTTCAAAATTTATTCAATATACCTAGTATTTTGTTCTCAACTTGTTTAATATTTCCCTTTTTTACTATGGAAACATTTAACTTAAGTTTGGCGCCAAATGGTGTCGACGACATCAAATGCCTGTCATTCGTAAACCCAATTTTTTGTGTACGCGGACGCTGCAAGACAATGGCGTTCCCGTCACGAAAACAGCAAAACGTAAACTCGATATTGAAATATAGCCAATGTTTTACATTCATAGTATGATATGTATGTGCCCTTGGATTCATAGTCATTATTTGATTGACCTTACACACAGTACAATTTTACCATAAATCTTCCATCAGAAAGTACAATTGAGCAAGCATAATTACTTAATGATAAAATATTCACTTTAATTAACTTTAACACACAAAATTTAGAGTAAGTCAATCCACAGAATTCAATAAAAAATTGTTAGCAAAAGAAGCTACGATATTTTTCCGAACAAAGAGACAAACGCACAAAACGATATTCTTCATCATCGTTTGTATTTCCGACTATCCCCGAAGATAATTATCTCGGGTATGGTGTATGGTTTCATATGTATACTTTTTCTATAGCTTAATGTAAGCTGCGTACGGACAAAAACAGGCGGAAAATAGTTTTTTACTTGGCCATATTAATATGTGCCAACTTTAGTAATGGATAGCTTAGCTGTTTTATAATTTTTCTGCTTGAATATTCGAATTTTTTCAAAATTCATTAAAATAATAAAACTCGTTCTTGGATAAAAAAAATGCATACAATGTGTTAATGCAGGTTTGGTAACGCACGGCTATGTTGAAGCGAATGTTGTGGCTGGTGCAAGAAGAAATTAAACGATCTCTAAACTTTAAGTCGCTTATATAAAGTTTTCAAAACCTTGACTACTATAGGCATAGAAGCAGTTCAAAAAATGACGTTCAAATGAAACATATTTTTCACAATTTCCATTTCAGCAGCTCACTTACAATGATAGATTTGACATTTTTCCTGTTAGTCAGTACTACGTTATCACGAGGTATGAAATCTTAAATAAATCTTTATCTCTTTACATTGAACTTTTTTTTTTATGATATCAGCAAAAATTGTATGTATTTTATAATAATATAAAAAAGTCGATGTATTTATTTGATCGAAGGTAAGACCAACTTTTGCAAACCAAGCTTTTATTTTTGCACTTTTTAAATAAAGCTCATATTCTCTTTCTAAACAAGCTCCTCTGTTAAATAAATATCATGCGACGTATGTATACAAGAAAATTTAAAAATTTTTTTAAAGCCCGGAAATTAATCTTACGTAGTAAGAACTGAGAACAGAGAATTTTGGTCGCCTGGTGATTATCGTATGAATTCTTGTTACAGTGAAAACACAATTAAGTTGTAGCTAAAGGTTACACAAATTTTGTCTTACATAGCTAGTGAAAAGCAGTCTTACAAAACAGAATGAAACAAAAAACTCTTTTTTCAATGTTGTATTTAAAAATAACTTGCTTGACTCCTCTCATTTTTACTTACAGCAAGTGTTGACTCTAAAGTCTGTGACTTTGAACATGGCCTGGGTACAAATTTATGTCCATGGTATAATGTTGAGGGAATTGATTATGGGAACTGGATTGTCGATAATGGCTGGATTCTTGGCCGTCCCCCAACATTTGGTAAGTTCTGAAACACGAGAGCTTTTTGTTTGTGTGCAAGGAGACAAAATATCGAGTTTCAAGAAAAGAAACGGATTTGATGTTTTGCAACACTGAGCGAGTTTTTGTAAATGGAGACCAGGATAGCTTTGTAAGGCGAGTAAGATGATAAATATTGGTTGTTACTTAATGTAATTACGCTTGTAAATTGTGAGGTGCGGACGGTTCTAAGCCCAATTCGAATGTGCATGACTTGGAGTTCAGGTTTGTGAAGCAGCGTGGAGAGTAATGATGACTTTGACTGAAGACTGAGTTCACTATATAAAAGATGACGTTATAATGTGGAAGGCTTCAGTTTTGGTATGATGTCTTTTTATATAGTAGAGAGGCTTTATTGATGAATTAGATGGAGATCGTTTAGAGAGATTTTGTTTTCAAAAAGGACTACTCTGATTTTGAATTGAGCTAAATTTTCTATGAATTAAGTTGCAGACATGTCACACGAGCAAACTGCAGACAGTCAACGCTCAGATAAGGCATCTTTTAATTTCTTTAAGAATATTCTTGTTTGTTCTGTTTTTCTGTATTGTTTTTAAGTTCTTTATAGCAAGTGCCTAATATACATGGCAACGTTTAGAGAGGAGATTGATAGTTGTGCCATTGAATGAGTCAGCGAAAGCCGCAAGATTTTTCATGCATGAATGATGTAAAATCGGTGGGACAAAGCAGTAATTGCTATTTCTTCTCATCACGACAATGTTCTTGTCATCAAATCTCTTCTTCAACTTAGCATTAACGTTTTTCGTGACCTCGTACAGGATCGATTTTTATGGAAATAAATATCCATCCAGTAGCAAAGTAGCTTCTTGAGTACTAACAAGTTGTACATTCTCAGGATTATCAACATAAATCACCATTCTTTCAGTCTCATTTGAGAACACTCTCTTACGTTACAGGCTTCTCTCTTACGTTACAGGCTTTCAACTTCTTATTGAACAAAGCAATAGGACTTTGGTCATACTAATCGTAAACATGTCTGAAGAAAATTTAGGTGTCCTAGGATATATACTTAATTATCATGATGTATCGAATAAAAAGACGATTGATACAACATCTATATCAAGAGCACTAAAAGTAGCTAGCAGCATAACAAAAGGAAACGTTGAAGTTTGTTTCAATGTAATAAATTATCTACTGCCATATGCAAAATCCAAAAGTTAGTATCTTTGAGGAAACAAATTTTTCTTAATTTTTTTATGTTCAAAAGATCTGATTGGTTAAAGCTACAAACAAAAAAACTATCGAAATTGGTAACTTTCAATTTTCTAACCACCCTTGACAAACTGTCAAAATTTCCCAGTCATGAGAATTATAGGGTTCCCGATGGGTGTGATGTAACCGTCCCTGCTCGTCCTCTTGCGCCACTCCTGAACCACGATAATTTTATATTCATAAATTTATAAAAGAAAACCTGGTGAAATAAATTTTACAATTACACAAAACTCTTACTTATCTTACTGTACAAGGTGTTTTGAACAACATAAATCGATCTCTTAATGAGCATTACTGTAATGGTTTATCAAGCAATCTTAAATAAATGACTTATCAACAAATATGCATTCTTTATATATATAGTTTACATATATGTTGCATTGTTTTATGTGTTGTAGGACAACATCTTTCAGCTTTAATAAGACGCCTTACAACAGGCAAAATTTGGTTGGTGGGAAATTATCGCAACGACTCTCTCGTGTGTTTTTCGTTTTCGTATTTCATGTATAGCAGTTATTTTGGAACATTGAATATCTACCAAGAATATTTTCGCAATGGATACAATCTTTTACTGTGGTCATTAAGTGGTGATCAAGGAACTAAGTGGAAAAAAGGCCAAGTCACAGTTAATTTTGCCATGGGTCTATCTAGGGTTGGTATATATTTATAAGACTTTCTGAAACTTTGTAAATTTGTCCATGCCACTTACTTTTTATTCTTAGTTAATCGTTGAAGCTGTTGTGGGGCCATCTAGTCATATTGTAGCTATCGACAATCTTGCTTTTGCTTCAGGAAGCTGCGACACAATACCAAAGGTGGCCATTCCTAACAATGCTATTGGTAAGTATTTGTTTTCTTGGAGTGTGAAGTGTTTAGCTTGGTCACTCTTGTTCTTTTTATGTTCTTGGAAATATTCTAACTTTTCATTTGGCTCATTATTGATTACATAATGAAATATTGAATACAATAAATAAGTCAACTGTAAACTGTCAATTGCCAATCGATGTTTTGTATTCAATGATCTATTTTATAGATTGTTCCATTGGTTCATTCTTTTCGTTTGAAAGTAAGAATTGTGAAAAATGTCCCATCTATACATATCAACCATATCCAAAACAAACTCGTTGTCTTACCTGTAATGATGGTAAAGGTACCATCAATGTTAGAGCAGTAAGTGAAAAGGAATGCATAAAAGGTAATTTTTGACATTGTGTCACTTCAGTGCTGATAAATCTATATAAGCTTAGTGTGCGTATGTTTACATATTTATATATATATAAAAAGTGTACAACAATGTGCCCTCCCGGCTATCACCGTTGTAAAATTGGGACCACTGCACTTGGGACACAGGAAGTACGGTTACACATTGTATGAATTATCATTAAGTTGTTTGGTAAAATTCATGATAGATTTAGTGAACATTAAAGTTATCTGTGTGTCCACGACTTCAGAGACTGGAATTTTTTTACACAATTTCGAGTTTTTTTGCTGAACTTTCAGCAAACGTTGACAAAATACAAACAAGAATTGTTAATTGATTAAAAAAGTAAAATCATTTCATATTCATAAGTTTGGTGCTTTTAGCTTTTAAACCTGCTGTGCAACATAATGTTGCATAGACTGCATAAAGTTTTGTGTAAATTTGCATAAAATTTACGCAATAATTAGCGTAAATCATCTCATTTAACTCAGAATTTTAAATTTTGTCAATCGTTTACACAATTTTTTGTGTTGAAAATACACATATTTCTTTAAGTAAAAAATTTGCTCATTTTTGAGTAAATTGTTACACACAAAATCATGTAGAGCAGTGCGTTAAGGTGAAGAGTTGTGCAATTAAGACAAGTTTTAAAAAGTTTTGTGATAAATGTAAGGAAATTAATTTTTAAGTTAACTCATAAAATATATTTTATTTACCGGATGGGAGATCCGTACGGAAAAAATATTTTCACGAGGTCTCAAAAACCCAGTAATCCACAAATATAATCAATACATGTTATCTTTACTTTGACTAGCGCCGTATATGCTGCATGACGCTGTCAGCTAGTTAGTATTTCGATTATAAATATATTCTTGGTCTAGTGGTATACGTGTGTAACTGATCAATGTAATTTTCTACACAATAAGGGACTATCTCTGTTTACGTATTTATAAGTGTGTTTTATTAGAAATTTTACTCTAAAACCTGTGTTGCTGTAAATGCATTCTCTGTGTGTTCATTTACTAGTAATTTTGTTTAATACAATTACCCATAAGATGTGTAATTCATTCTTTAACTCAAAATATTGTGTTCAGTGGATACATTGTTGTTATGTAAATTTACCAATAGTTGTATATAGTGTGTTCACTACTGTTTGTGACACTGTGGATACACATTTTACTAAAATTTGTGTGTACAATTTACACAAGATTTTTTGCAGTCAAAACCCATCATCTTCTGTGGTGTGTTTTGGCTCCCTACAAATGCATTTCAGACTTTTACTATATTCTATAACAACTAATATGGCTGTTTAACTTTCGATTCCTTTTTTATTCAGTCAAAAGATGTGATTTTCAAAAGGGACTGGGAACTACTTTATGTCCATGGCACAACGTAGAAGGTGACGGTGACTTTGACTGGAAACTTCGCACATCATCGTCAGCACATTGGCAACCACCACGCTATGATGCCACAGGCTTCAGTGTTGGTAAGATGGCAACGTTTATAGTGAATAAGTGTTGTATGTACAACTGCTTGAATTAAAAAAAGAAAAATGATAAAGAGTATTTAGAATTTTGTCTTTAAATGACAACTCGGATTTTAAATGTCAATCAGTAAGTTACTTCTTAATAAAATCTAACGTCATAAATATATTGCTGGATCTAAAATAGATACTTACTTAAAATTAAAATCAGATGTGGTTTCATTCAGCTAAAAGACACAAAAATAGATGATAATTTTATTCCTATTATGGTTTTTTAAAAAATTTTGTTTAGTGAATTTGTTAAACCACGATAATTCTATATTTCTTTATGTATAAAGTCCACATATATCTTACAATTCTTCATGTGTTGTAGGACGATATCTCTATTCTTTATATATATGTATAGTCTACATGTATCTTGTGTTCGTTCAAGTGTTATAGGACGATATCCTTATTCTTTTTTATGCAGTCTACATATATCTTACATTTCTTCATGTGTTGTAGGACAATAGCATGGTAAGGCGAGTAAGATGATAAATATTGGTTGTTACTTAATGTAATTACGCTTGCAAATTGTGAGGTGCAGACGGTTATAAGCCCAATTCGAATGTGGATGACTTGAAGTTTAGTTTTGTGAAGCAAAGTGGAGGGCAATGATGACTTTGACTGAAGACTTAGTTCACTATATCGAACATCACGTTATAATAACGACGGCCTTAGTTTTGGTATGATTTCATTTTTATATTGTAAAGAGGCTTTATTGATGAATTAGATGGAGATCATTTAGTGAGATTTTGTTTTCAAAAATGACTACTCTGATTTTGAACTGAGCTGAAATTCCTTTTGAATTTAGTTGATGACATGTCACACGAGTAAACTGCAGTCAGTTACGCTCAGATAAGGCTTCCTTTCAATTTCTTTAAGAATATTAATTTTTGTTTTGTTTTTCTGTATTGTTCTTAAGTTCTTTATAGCAAGTGCTTAATATGCATGGCAACTTTTAGAGAGGAGATTGGTACTTGTGCCATTGAATGAGTCAGCGAAAACCGCAAGATTTCTCACCCATGAATGTTGTAAAATCGGTGGGACAAAGCAGTAATTGCTATTTCCTCTAATCACGAAAATGTTCTTGTCATCAAAGCTCTTCTTCAACTTAGCATTAACGTTTTTCTTGATCTCGTACAGGATCGATATTTATCGATCTAGTAGCACAGTAGCTTCTTGAGTAATAAGTTGTAGATTCTTGGGAATATCAACATAATTGGCCATTCTTTCAGTCACATTTCAAAACACTTAGAACGTCTCTCTGACGTTACAGGCTTTCAACTTCTTATTGAACAAAGCAATAGGACTTTGTTCATACTAATCGTAATATTAAATATGCATTAATATAATAAAGATGCATTCTTTATATATATAATTTAAATATATCGTACATTTCTTCATGTGTTGTAGGACGATATGTGTATGCTGGATTCCGATACTATTTTCAAGGCAAAGCTTGGTTGCTGGGAAATTATAGCAACAACTCTGTTATGTGTTTTTCTTTTTCGTATTACATGGGTCGCGGTTATTATGGGACATTAAATATTTACCAAGAATATTTTCATAATGGATACAGTCCTTTACTGTGGTCATTAAGTGGTGATAAAGGAACTAAGTGGAAAAAAGGCCAAGTCACAGTTAATTTTACAATGGGTCTATCTAGGGTACGCAACTTACGCATATTTATACATTTTAAAATTAATCTTCGGCAATTTGTCCAAACCGCTTACTTTTTCTTCATAGTTAATTGTTGAAGCCGTCGTGCCTAGATTTACATTAAGCTTTGTAGCTCTCGACAATCTTGCTTTTGCTCCTGGAAGCTGTGGCACAATACCAAAGGAGGCCATTCCTATCAATGCTTTTGGTAAGTATTTGTTTTCTTGGAGTGTGAAGTGTTTTCAATGGTTACTCTTGTTGTTTTTGTGTTCTTGGAAATTTTCTAGCTTTTCATTTGGTTCCTAGTTAACTTACCCAGTGAGACATAAAACATTGAATACGTTTTATTTTCAAAAAATGTCTTTTCAGATTGTTCCAATGGTTTATTTTTCTCGTTTCTAAATAAGAAATGTAACAAATGTCCCAGCTCTACTTACCAGCCGTACACAAATCAAACTCGTTGTCTTACCTGTAATGATGGTAAAGGTACCATCAATATTGGTGCTGTGAGTGAACAAGAATGTATAAAAGGTAATTTTTAAGGTGTCACTTCAGTGCTGAAAATTTAATATACTATGAATATTTTTTAACTCTTCCTTGGATTTTATATTAAAAGAAATAATCTAAAAAAGTTATATATACCTTGTTTGCACGGCTAAATTTGATAATGTACTGATATTTCATATGTTAATTCGTAAAAATTCGTATTTTTGGCAAGTCTTTCGACGCTCCATTCCGTACAATAGAAGTGAAGACAATGCATGCTGTTGATTTTCTTTATCTATTTTATAAAGCAGTAATTTGAAAATATGTTCTTATTAATTTTTTTATAATTGAATATCAAGAAATATTTGTTTTGATTACAAAAGTAAGTTTGTGGTTCAAGGGCTTCGCAAGGAGTTCAAAGAGAAGCGCAAGTCTTGAAACAGACACGAAAATCAACGCTTTCCTCCTTTGAATAAATGCAATAAAAGCTTCACATGAATCTTAGTCTCATTCCCAGGGCCTCTCTTTTGTTAGAGCATTAATGCTCATTCCCAGTTCTTTCGTCTGTTCATCTCAAACTTTTTTGCAGGTGCTTAACTATATTGGAACATGAACATTAACATGTTAACAAACGCAATGCTGCATGCCTTACTACAAAGTGAAGAGTTAAACGCAGGCTATGTCACGCTCAACTACTTATTTTTATTTAAGTTCATCACGTGATTAGCTCTCACCAGAATGAGGTTTCAACAAATAATCCCCTGAAAGCAATTCAGGAGCCTGGGAAAGCACGGCACTATATATAAATAAAACAAAAATAACACCACTTTCTCTGATTTCTGAAATAACAATAATTCTAATATACTACCAAATACATCGCTGTTAAATTGCATCGTAAAATTTGTACTGAGGTTAAAACAAGAGAGTTGATAAAATAAACGTAATGCTGCTTTTTTAAAAATTCCCTATGACGTAAAATTTACAAAGACAGGCAAATAGCTTACATTCCATATAAAAAAAGTTTTTAACGCTCATAAATTGCATTTTGCCATGTTGTTTATACAGGGTGTATAGAAAAAAACCGAAAAACCAGAAAAACCTCTCTAAATTCATCAGCACGCAAGATCTTCAAATAACTTTAGTGAATTAGATAGTTCTACGTCCAATAGCTAGTTAATCTGACAGAATTTTTTTGCAAATAAAATCGATTTAGTGGGAGAATTGTGTTACCAAAAAGTACTTTCGAAAAACTTTGTGCTCGAAAATCAAAAGAACAAAAAGCAATTGGAACAAAAAAGGCTAAAATATGGTGCATGTTGTTCAAGCTTACAAAATTTTGGGAAATTTAGTTCAACAGGATACAAACACTTGGCATTCAAATTGCAGATTATTTAGCGCTTTTTTTTTATTTGCCATGTTTTAAAACCTTCATGAATTAGTCATATTTGATTTAATTTACCCTCAAATTTATGCATAATTAACAAGACTATATCAAAATGCCATTTAAAAATAAAAAATTCAAAGCAATTCGCAACTTAAAAGTTATGCATTCGCATACTCATTAGCAAAATTTCCTTAAACTTTATTACCTTTAAAAACATAAGTCATATTGTAACCCTATATCTTCCAATTTCTTTTTACCTATATGAGTTTTATGCGCAAGCTATTTCAAACGTGCCTCTCGTTAACACAATTTTTACCCTATAAATTTTTCTTATTTGAGACAATTTTACTCTCAGATAACGCTTTGGAAATCCAACTGACTATTTCCACGAAACATTTTTGCAAATCGTATGTCCAAATGACTTTAATGTCGCTTTCCCAACTTTTAAGGTTATTTTGACACACCCTGTAGAGTAGAATTACCATTATTCTCGTTTAAATAGCATGCACACTAGGTAGATTTTTTGCACTGCCTACTAAATCTAAAGGCTTTGCAAGCAAAACAGGTGGAAGAATTTTATTTTCTTGTTGCAAACTTTAGTGTTAATAAGTTGTTTGGTAAAATTCATGATAAATTTAGTGGACATTAAAGATACCTGTCTGTCCACGACTTCGGAAACTGGAAATCTTTTAACACAATTTCGGGTTTTTCTGCTGAACTTTCGACAAATGTTGCCAAACAGCAAAGAAGAATTGATAAATATTTTAAAAAGAAAATTTATTTTTACCTTTAAAAGTTTATGATGCTTTTATTGTTTAAACTTTGCTGTGGAACATAGCGTTGCTTAAAAATCTGTTGTCTTGTGTGGTGTGTTTTTGTTTCATACAAATGCATTTCAGGCTTCTGCTTTATTTTTAACAACTAATATGACTATTAAAATTTCGATTTTTCTCCCATTCAGTCGAAAACTGTGATTTTCAAAAAGGACTAGGAACGACTGTTTGTCCATGGCACAATGTGGAAGGAGACGATGACTTAAACTGGGCACTTGGTGCAGAACACTTAACAGAAATAAATTATAGAAACCCAAGTTATGACGCTACAGGTTCTAATTTTGGTAAGATAGTAGTGATTAATAATAAAGCGACGTTAGATTTTAAACTGCTTAACAAGCTGACAGTTTAAGCTGCAATTAGCAAAATGATAGAGGTCATTTAATAAAATTATGTCTTCAAAAATGACAACTCTGATTTTAAATGCTTGTCATCAATAATTACAAAATAAACACAATGAAACGCGCGCGCTGATTAGTTTAGAGCTGTGTTTGCATTAGCCTGGGAAAAACGATCTGAGCTCAACCAATCAAATCAACCAATCCATCAAAAAGAGTTTGCAAATCAATAATGAATACACGATGACGAATATTAAAACGTAATTTTTGTTTTGCATTATTGTTATTTTACAAAAGAAATAAAAGAGTTTTTGTGTTTGTACTGGCTTATGCAAACCTCGAAGGCTTATGCAAACCAGGGCAAGCCTAAAACCGAAGTTCAAGGGTTGCACCTGATCGAAAGTTCTCACAAACGTCACCGAGGCTTGCATAAGCCTGCAAGGTTTACATAAGCTAGTGCAAGCACGAAAAACATCTTTCATTTCTTTTATAAAATAACAATAATGGGAGACAAAAAAACATTTTAATTTTTCCTCTAAAATGTATTCATAATCGATTTTCGAATTCTCTTTCGCTGATTTATTGTTATGTTTGATTTGATTTGTTGGGCTCGGATGTGTTTAGCACAGGCTAATGATAACACAGTTCTAGACCAATCAGCGCATGCGTTTCAAATTGTTTATTTTATAATTCTTAGTTAAAATCTTGTTTATGAAATCTAATATTACGTATATTTTGCTTGGTCTAAATTTGATAATTAAAGACTTTAAAGTTAAAATTCGTTTTAAAATCAATTTCGTTTTTATATTTGGAATTTGTTTATTAAATTTGTCGATATATTTATATTCATAAATTTATGCCAGAAAACTAGGTGAAGTAAATTTTATACCTACACAAAAAACAGACGTATCTAACTGTACAAAGCGTGCTAAAAGCATCAATCTTTATATGAGCGACCTTGTAAGTAATTTTAGATAAATGTGTTATCAATAAATACTCATTCTTTATTTATATAATCTACATATATCTTATATTTCTTCATTTGTTGTAGGACGATATCTTTATTCTTTATAAATAGTCTGCATATATCTTACATTTCTTCATATGTTGTAGGACAATATCTTAATTCTTTATTATATTTTACATATATCTTACATTTTCTCATGCATTGTAGGACGATATCTTTATACAGATTCAAGTATATCAGGCAGAGCTTGGTTGGTTGGAAACTATCAAAACGACTCTCTCGTGTGCTTTTCATTTTCGTATTATATTCGCGGTCATAACATATTAAACATCTACCAAGAATATTTTCACAATAGTTACAATGTGCTACTATGGTCATTAAGTGGTGATCAAGTAACTAAGTGGAAAAAAGGTCAAGTCACAGTTAATTTTACAATGGGTCTATCTAGGGTACGCAACTTACACATATTTATACAACTTAAAATTAGCTTTGGCAATTTTTCCAAGCCGCTTACTTTTCTTCAAAGTTAATGGTTGAAGCTGTCGTGCGTGGATACACAATAAACATAGTAGTTCTCGACAATCTTGCTTTTGCTCCAGGAAGCTGTGACACAATACCAAAGGTTGCCATTCCTAGCAATGTTTTTAGTAAGTATTTGATTTCTTGGAGTGTGAATTGTTTTGCTTAATCACTCTTGTTGTTTCTGTGTTCTTGTAAATTTTCTAACTTTCAATTGGCTCATAATTAATTACCTAATGAGACAAGAAACAATAAATAACTCAACTGTGAACTGTCAATTGTCAATCGATGTTTTGTTTTCAATGATCTATTTTATAGAATGTTCCATTGGTTCATTCTTTTCGTTTGAAAGTAAGAAGTGCGAAAAATGTCCCATCTATACATATCAACCATATCCAAAACAAACTCGTTGTCTTCCCTGTAATGATGGTAAAGGTACCATCAATGTTGGTGCAGTAAGTGAACAAGAATGCATAAAAGGTAATTTTTGACATTGTGCACTTCAGTGCTGATAAATCTATACAATCTTAGTGCGCATATGTTTACATATTTATATATATATAAAAAGTGTACAACAATGTGCCCTCCCGGCTATCACCGTTGTAAAATCGGGACGCCAGCACTTAAGAAACAGGAAGTACGGTTACACATTGCATGGATTGTCATTAAGTTGTTTCGTAAAATTCATGATAAATTTAGTGGACATGAAAGAACTCCGTGTGTCCACGACTTCAAAGACTGGAATTTTTTTTACACAATTTCGAGTTTTTCTGCTAAACTTTGAGCAAACGTTGCCAAAATACAAACAAGAATTGTTGATTGATTAAAAAAGTAAAATCATTTGTATATTTATAAGTTTGGTGCTTTTATCATTTGAACCTCTTGTGAAGCATAAATTTGCATAGACAGTATAAAATTTTGTGTAAGTTTTGCATAAAATTCACGCAATAATCAGCGTAAATCATCTCATTTAACTCAGAATTTTGAGTTCTGTCAACACAACAATTCGGTAAAGACTTGACTTACGTTTTTGAGTTGAAAATATACAAAATTTCAGGTAATTCAATCGTTTACACAATTTTTTGTTTTGAAAATACACATATTTCTTTGAGTAAACAATTTGCTCATTTTTCAGTAAATTGTTATACACAAAATCATATAGAGCAGTGCGTTAAGGTGAAGAGTTGTGCAATTAAGACTAGTTTTACAAAGTTTTGTGACAAATGTATTGAAATTAATTTTTAAGTTAACTCATAAACTTTATGTTATTTAGCAGATGGGAGGTCCGTACGGAAAAAATATTTTCACGAGGTGTCAAAAACCTAGTAATCCACAAATTTAATCAATACATGTTATCTTTACTTTGACTAGCGTCGCATATGCTGCATGACGCTGTCATCCAGTTAGTATATCGACTATAAATATATTCTTGGTCTAGTGGTATACATGTCTTATTGATTAATATAATTTTCTACACAATAAGCGACTATCTCCGTTTACCTATTTTTAAATGGGTTTTAATAGAAGTTTTACTCTAAAACCTGTGTTGCTGTAAATGCATTCTCTGTGTGTACATTTACTAGTAATTTTGTGTAATACAATTACTCCAAAGATGTGTAATTCATTCTTTAACTCAAAATATTGTGTTCAGTGGATACATTGTTATTATGTAAATTTACCAATTGTTGTATGTAGTGTGTACACTACTGTTTGTGACACTGTAAATACACATTTTACTGAAATTTTTGTGTACAATTTACACAAGATTTTTTGCAGTTAGAACCCATCATCTTGTGTCGTGTATTTTGGCTCCCTACAAATGCATTTCAGACTTTTTCTATATTCTATAACAACTAATATGGCTGTTTAACTTTCGATTCCTTTTTTGTTCAGTCACAAGATGTGATTTTCAAGAGGGACTGGGAACTACTGAATGTCCATGGCACAACGTAGAAGGTGACGATAACTTAGACTGGAAATTTAGTACATCATACTCATCAAATTACGAACCACCACGCTATGATGCTACAGGCTTCAGTATTGGTAAGATGGCAGCGTTTATTGTGAATAAGTGTTGTATGTACAACTGCTTAAATTAGAAAAAGTAAAATGATGAAGAATATTTAGGATTTTGTCTTTAAATAACAACTCGGATTTTAAATGTCAATCAGTAAGTTATTTTTAATAAAATCTAACGTCATAATTATATTGCTAGATCAAAATAGATACTTACTTAAAATTAAAATCAGATGTAGTTTCATTCAGCTAAAAGACACAACAATAGGTGATAATTTTATAGCTTTATTGTTTTTTTAAAAATTTTGTTTATTGAATTTGTTAAAACACGATAATTTTATATTTCTTAATATATAAAGTCCACATATATCTTACAATTCTTCATGTGTTGTAGGACAATATGTTCATTCTTTATATATATGTATACTCTACATGTATCTTCTATTCGTTCAAAAATTGTAGGACGATATTCTTATTCTTTTTTATGCAGTCTACATATATCTTACATTTCTTCACGTGTTGTAGGACAATAGCATGGTAAGGCGAGTAAGATGATAAATATTGGTTGTTACTTAATATAATTACGCTTGTAAATTGTGAGGTACAGACGGTTGTAAACCCAATTCGAATGTGGATGACTTGGAGTTTAGTTTTGTGAAGCAAAGTCGAGGGCAATGACGACTTTGACTGAAGACTTAGTTCACTATATCGAACATCACGTTATAATAACGACGGCCTTAGTTTTGGTATGATTTCTTTTTTATATAGTAGAGAGGATTTATTGATTAATTAGATGGAGATCGTTTAGTGAGATTTTGTTTTCAAGAATGATTACTCTGATTTTGAACTGAGCTAAAATTCCTTTTGAATTTAGTTGATGACATGTCACACAAGCAAACTGCAGGCAGTCAACGCTCAGACAAGGCTTCCTTTCAATTTCTTTAAGAATATTATTGTTTGTTTCGTTTTTCTATATTGTTTTTAATTTCTTTGTAGCAAGTGCTTAATATGCATGGCAACCTTTGGAGAGCAGATTGGTAGTTGTGCCATTAAATGAGTCAGCGAAAACCGCAAGATTTCTCACCCATGAATGTTTTAAAATTGGTGGGACTAAGCAGTAATTACTATTTCCTCTCATCACGACAATGTTCTTGTCATCAAATCTCTTCTTCAACTTAGCATTAACGTTTTTTGTGATCTCGTACAGAATAGATATTTATCAATCTAGTAGCACAGTAGCTTCTTGAATAATAACAAGTTGTACATTCTTGGGAATATCAACATAATTGGCCATTCGTTCAGTCTCATTTGAGAACACTTAGAACTTCTCTCTTACGTTACAGTCTTTCAACTTCTTATAGAACAAAGCAATAGGACTTTGGTCATACTAATCGTAAACATATCTGAAGAAAATTTAAGTGTCGTAGGGATATATACTTAATTGTCATGATGTATCGAATAAAACGACGATTGATACAACATCTGCAGCCAGAGCACTAAAAGTAGCTAGCGCCATAGCAAAAGCAAACGTTGAAGTTTACTTCAACGTAATAAAATTATCTACTGCCATATGCAAAATCAAAAAGCTAGTATCTTTGAGGAAACAAATTTTTCTTAGTTTTTTGTTTTCAAAAGCTCTGACTGGTTAAAGCTACAAACAAACAGCAACTATCGAAATTGGAAACTTTTAATTTTCTGTCCATACTTGACAAACTGCGACATTTTCCCCGATATGAGAATTATAGTGTTCCCCGATGGGGGTGATGTCACCGCCCTGCTCGTCCTCTTGCGCCACCCCTGAACCACGATAATTTTATATTCATAAATTTATAAAAGAAAACTTGGTGAGATAAATTTTACAATTACACAAAAATCTTACTTATCTTAGTGTACAAGGTGTTTTAAACAACATAAATCGATCTCTTTATTCACATTCCTGTAATGGACGATCTAGCAATCTTAAATAAATGACTTATCAATAAATATGCATTCTTTATATACATAGTTTACATATATCTTACATTTCTTCATGTGTTGTAGGACAATATCTTTCTGCTGGCATAAGACACCGTTCAACAGGCAAAATTTGGTTGGTGGGAAATTATCGCAACGACTCTCTCGTGTGTTTTTCATTTTCGTATTATATTCGCAGTCATTATCATACATTAAATATCTACGAAGAATATTTTCATAATGGATACAGTCCCTTACTGTGGTCATTAAGTGGTTATCAAGGAACTAAGTGGAAAAAAGGACAAGTCACAGTTAATTTTACAATGGGTCTATCTAGGGTACGCAACTTACGCATATTTATACAACTTAAAATTAAACTTCGGCAATTTGTCCAAGCCACTTGCTTTTTCTTCATAGTTAATCGTTGAAGCTATCGTGAGTAGATACACAACAAAATTTGTAGCTCTCGACAATCTTGCTTTTGCTCCAGGAAGCTGTGACACAATACCAAAGGTGGCTATTCCTAACAATGCTTTTGGTAAGTATTTGTTTTCTTGGAGTGTGAAGTGTTTTGATTGGTTACTCTTGTTGTTTTTGTGTTCTTGGATATTTTCTAACTTTTCATTTGGTTCCTAGTTAATTTACATAGTGAGACAGAAAACATTGAATACAATAAATAAATCAACTGTAAAATTTCAATTGTCAATCAATGTTTTATTTTCAAAAATTGTCTTTTCAGATTGTTCCAATGGTTCATTTTTCTCGTTTCTAAATAAGAAATGTAACAAATGTCCCAGCTCTACTTACCAGCCGTACACAAATCAAACTCGTTGTCTTACCTGTAATGATGGTAAAGGTACCATCAATATTGGTGCTGTGAGTGAACAAGAATGTATAAAAGGTAATTTTTAAGGTGTCACTTCAGTGCTGAAAACTTAAAATACTATGAATATTTTTAACTCTTCCTTGGATTTTATATTAAAAGAAATAATCTAAAAAAGTTGTATATACCTTGTTTGCACGGCTAAATTTGATAATGTACTGATATTTCATATGATAATTCGTAAAAATTCGTATTTTTGGCAAGTCTTTCGACGCTCTATTACGTACAATAGAAATGAAGACAATGCATGCTGTTGATTTTCTTTATCTATTTTATAAAGCAGTAGTTTGAAAATATTTTCTTATGATTTTTTTATAATTGAATATCAAGAAATATTTGTTTGTATTACAAAACTAACTTTGTGGTTCAAGGGCTTCGCAAGGAGTTCAAAGAGAAGCGCAAACCTTGAAACAGACACGAAAATCAACGCTTTCCTCCTTTGAATAAATCCAATAAAAGCTTCACATGAATCTTAGTCTCATTCCCAGGGCCTCTCTTTTGTTACAGCATGTACGCTCATTCCCAGTTCTTTCGTCTGTTCATCTCAAACTTATTTGCAGGTGCTTAATTACATTGGAACATGAACATTAACATGTTAACAAACGCAATTCTGCGTGCCTTACTACAAAATGAAGAGTTGCTTCTGTAGCTTATACGCAGGCTATGACACCTTCAACCACTTATTTTTATTTAACTTCATCACGTGACTAGCTCTCACCAGAATGAGGTTCGAACAAATAATCTTCTGAAAACAATTCAAAAGCCTGGAAAAGCACGGCAATATATAAATAAAACAAAAATAACATCACTTTCTCTAACTTCTGAAATAACAATAATTCTAATGTATTACCAAATACATCGCTGTTAAATTGCATCGTAAAATTTGTATTGAGGTCAAAACAAGAGAGTTGATAAAATAAACGTAATGCTGCTTTTTAAAAATTCTCTATAACTAAAATTTACAAGGACAGGCCAATAGCTTGCATTCCATATAAAAAAGGTTTTAACGTACTTAATTTGCATTTTACCATGTTGTTTATACAGGATTTATATAAAAAAATAATTGAACAATCAGAAAAACCTCTCTAAATTCATCAGGGCGTAAGATCTTCAAAAACCTTTAGTGAAATAGGTAGTTCGACTTCCAATAACTGGTTCATCTGACAGAAACTTTTGGCAAGTAAAAACAATTTAGTGGGAGAATTGTGTTACCGAAAAATACTTTTGAAAAATTTCGTGCTCGAAAATCAAAAGAACAAAAAGCAATTGGAACAAGAAAGGTTAAAATATGGTACATGTTGTTCAAGCTTACAATGTTTTGGGAAGTTTGGTTCAACAGGATACAAAGACTTGGCATTCAAATTGCAGATTATTTAGCGCTCTTTTTATTTGCCATGTTTTAAAACCTTCATGAATTAGTCATATTTGATTTAATTTACCCCCAAATTTATGCATGATTAATAAGGACTATATCAAAATGCCATTTAAAAATTAAAAATTCAAAGCAATTCGCAACTTAAAAGTTATGCTTTCGCATACTCATTGGCGAAATTTCCTAAAATTTGTTACCTTTTAAAACATAAGTCATATTGTAGCCCTATATCTTCCAATTTCTTTTTACCTATATGATTTTTATGCGCAAGCTATTTCAAATGTGCCTCTCTGTAATACAATTTTATCTTATAAATTTTTGTTATTTAAGACAATTTCACTATCAGATAGCGCATTGGAAATCCAACTGACTATTTCCACGAATCGTGTTTGCAAATCGTATGCCCGAATGACTTTAATGTCGTTTTCCAAACTTTTCAGGTTTTTTGACACACCCTCTAAAAGAGAATTACCATTATTATCGTTTAATTAAGATGCACACTAGGTAGATTTTTTGCACTGCCCGCTAATTCTAAAAGCTTTGAAAGCAAAGGAGGTAGAAGAATTTTAATTCTTGTTGCAAAATTTAATGTTAATAAGTTGTTTGGTAAAATTCATGATAAATTTAGTGGACATTAAAGATATCTGTCTGTCCACGACTTCGTAAACTGGAAATCTTTTAACACAATTTCGGGTTTTTCTGCTGAGCTTTCGACAAATGTTGCCAAACAGCAAAGAAGAATTGATAAATATTTTAAAAAGAAAATTTATTTTTACCTTTAAAAGTTTATGATGCTTTTATTGTTTAAACTTTGCTGTGGAACATAGCGTTGCTTAAAAATCTGTTGTCTTGTGTGGTGTGTTTTTGTTTCATACAAATGCATTTCAGGCTTCTGCTTTATTTTTAACAACTAATATGGCTATTAAAATTTCGATTTTTTTCCCATTCAGTCGAAAACTGTGATTTTCAAAAAGGACTGGGAACGACTGTTTGTCCATGGCACAATGTGGAAGGAGACGATAACTTAAACTGGGAACTTGGTGCAGCATTCTTAATAGATGGAAAATATAGAAACCCAAGTTATGACGCTACAGGCTCTAATTTTGGTAAGATAGAAGTGATTTATAATAAAGAGACGATAGATTTTGAGCTTCTTAATAAGCTGACAGCTTAAGCTGCAAAAAGCAAAATGATAGAGGTCATTCGATAAAAATTTGTCTTCAAAAATGACAACTCAGATTTTAAATGCTTGTCATCAATAATTACAAAATAAACACAATGGAACGCGTGCACTGATTGGTTTAGAGCTGTGTTTGCCTTAGCCTGTGAAAAACGATATGAGCTCAACCAATCAAATCAAACAATCCATCAAACAGAATTTGCAAATCAATCCTGAATACACTTTGACGAGTATTAAAACGTTCTGTTTGTTTCGCATTATTGTTATTTTACAAAAGAAATAAAAGATGATTTTCGTGTTTGCACTGGCTTAAGCAAACCGAGGAGACCTTTAAGAAATTTGAGAGCAGATCAGTGCAAGCCTGAGACCGAAGGTCGAGTGTTGCACCTGCTCAAGAGTTCTTACCAACATCTCCGAAGTATAGTCTACACATATCTTACATTTTCTCATATGTTGTAGGACGTTATCTTTATTTAAAAACAAAATACAATGTACAAGGCAAAGCTTGGTTGGCGGGAAAATATCGCAACGACTCTGTCGTGTGTTTTTCATTTTCGTATTTCATGCATGGCAGTTCTTATGAGACAATGAATATCTACCAAGAATATTTTTATAATGGATACAGTCCCTTACTGTGGTCATTAAGTAGTGATAAAGGAAGTAAGTGGAAAAAAGGTCTGTTACTGTTGTTATTAAATGTCGATAGAAGAAGAAGATGGGAAAAAGGCCAAGTCACGGTTAATTTTACTGTAGGACTATCTAGGGTAAGTAAATTACATGTATTTATACTGTTTTATTAAATTCTGTCAATTTGACTAGGCCATATATTTTAATTCATAGTTAATCTTGGAAGCTGTTGTGCGTGGACAACACCACAACTTTGTAGCTCTCGATAATCTTGCTTTTGCTCCAGGAAGCTGTAAGACAACACCAAAGTTGGCCACTCCTAGTAATGCTTATAGTAAGTGTTTGTTTTCCAGGAGTGTAAAGTACTTTAATTGATTGGTGTTACATGAGAACAACTATTATCATGCAAGACATTTATAAGCTAACATTATATTAAATTATTATACATTTCATATTATATATTTATATTTTATCTTTAATATGCATTTTGGGTTGTTGTTACCAGTAGGACATAATCTAGTTGCTTGCTTGCATGCTCTAGAAGCTTCCTTACATACGTAAACACGTAAACATATATTTTAAAACCGCAGATCTCGTTATTGTCGTTTGTTATTTAGGTAAACAAATTTGATATATCTTGCTGTCACTATGCTTTTTGCTCGTATTTGTTTTGTAGCAGTGTGAAGTGTTTTGATTGGTCACTTTTTTTGCTTTTATGTTCTTGGAAATTTTTTAACTTTTAATTTGGCTCATAGTTAATTACATAATGAGACAGGAAACATTGAATACAATAAATAAATCAACTGTAAAATTTCAATTGTCAACCGACGTTTTATTTTCAAAAATTTTCATTTCAGATTGTTCCAATGGTTTATTTTTCTCATTTCTAAATAAGAAATGTAACAAATGTCCCAGCTCTACTTACCAGCCGTACACAAATCAAACTCGTTGTCTTACCTGTAATGATGGTAAAGGTACCATCAATATTGGTGCTGTGAGTGAACAAGAATGTATAAAAGGTAATTTTTAAGATGTCACTTCAGTGTTGAAAAATTAATATACTATGAATATTTTTTAACTCTTCCTTGGTTTTTATATTAAAAGGAATAATCTAAAAAGTTGTATATACCTTGTTTGCACGGCTAGATTTGTTAATGTACTGATATTTCATATGTTAATTTGTAAAAATTCGTATTTTTGGCAAGTCTTTCGACGCTCCATTCAGTACAATAGAAGTGAAGACAATGCATGCTGTTGATTTTCTTTATTTATCTTATAAAGCAGTAGTTTGAAAATATTTTCTTATGATTTTTTTAATTATTGAATATCAAGAAATATTTGTTTTGATTACAAATGTAAGTTTGTGGTTCAAGGGCTTCGCAAGGAGTTCAAAGAGAAGCGCAAACCTTGAAACAGACACCAAAATCAACGCTTTCCTCCTTTGAATAAATCCAATAAAAGCTTTATATGAACCTTTGTCTCATTCCTAGGGCCTCTCTTTTGTTAGAGCATCTACGCTCATTCCCAGTTCTTTCGTCTGTTCATCTCAAACTTTTTTGCAGGTCCTTAACTATATTGGAACATGAACATTAACATGTTAACAAACGCAACTCTGCATGCCTTACTACAAAATGAAGAGTTGCGTCTGTAGCTTATACGTAGGCTATGTCACGTTCAACCACTTATTTTTATTTACCTTCATCACGTGAGTAGCTCTCACCAGAATGAGGTTCGAACAAATAATCTTCTGAAAGCAATTCAAAAGCCTGGAAAAGCACGGCAATATATAAATAAAACAAAAATAACATCACTTTCTCTAACTTCTGAAATAACAATAATTCTAATGTACTACCAAATACATCGCCGTTAAATTGCATCGTAAAATTTGCATTTAGGTCAAAACAAGAGAGTTGATAAAATAAACGTAATGGTGCTTTTTTCAAAATTCTCTATAACTAAAATTTACAAGGACAGGCCAATAGCTTGCATTCCATATAAAAAAGGTTTTAACGTACTTAATTTGCATTTTACCATGTTGTTTATACAGGGTTTGTATAAAAAATAATTGAACAATCAGAAAAACCTCTCTAAATTCATCAGCGCGTAAGATCTTCAAAAACCTTTAGTGAAATAGGTAGTTCGACTTCCAATAACTGGTTCATCTGACAGAAACTTTTGGCAAGTAAAAACAATTTAGTGGGAGAATTGTGTTACCGAAAAATACTTTTGAAAAAATTCGTGCT